TTCAACACGTTTGATGTTATCAGGTGAAAATAACATTGTTGCAAATTGGTAAGCCTTTTGTTAACCTTTGGGAAATCATGCCTAACCTGTATAGACCTCCTTTGCCATATCCTCAGGACTCTACAAAGATTATGTAAACATCTTCTAAGACAGTCTGGTTAATGTTTGCGAACCCATACTGCAGGTGTGTTCACGGAGTGCTATGGCAGAGATGAGCTCCGAGCCCAGAAGCTACTCACCCGCTTGTCAAAGTCTTGGGGCCGGACCACTTGTCTGCGCCTGGCTCTGGAGGCAGACAACAAGAGCTTTGTGGCTCAAACAGGTGTCCAGGTAGGAGCTACAGTACCTGCGTTTTTAGCTGCTATAAAGAAAAGAGTAATGCATAGTAATGCAACAATCCTTAAATTTTGAGGTAATCTGTCCCAATCTGTGTGCTAGTTTCTTCATCATGTAGTTGATCATTCAGTTTTAATTCTACAGAGCTCTTTTATGGTGAGCTAAATCACAAGAAGCTTTACCATAAGCCACTTGGAGGAAAACGTGCTATATGTACAGTAAATACTGTAATATTATACATTGTGAGTGATATCACATTACTTTATGCAGAACAGGGAACTTGGTGCCAACTTGAACCTAGATAAACATATTTTTATAAATTACTGGGAATATTAGCCCTGAAATCATCCTGATTTTATATCGTAATTATATTGTATGACATTACAACTGCAATTGATTAACTCCCACCACATAAAAAAAACTGAAAAGTAAACAATCACCACATATACTTTGCGTGTCACTGTAGACCTGAAATACACTTAAATATAAATTAATATATTTGATTATGTTTTCAGAATTAATTTTAAAATATTACATTTAAAAAAATATTTTGGACAGTTTATTAACTGTAATTTATAAATTAAATACATTTCTCTTCTCTGTGTGGGCATAAAGTTATGTGCCTAGATTGAAATGTCAACCCACTCTGCTGTCACAAATCATAAAGTCAGTACTCAATGTCAGATATGTACTGGAATATACTGTAAGCATGAAGTCTCTCTAAAAACAAAAGATCTGGGCTTGTAATTTGCAGTTGGCTAATTTGTGGGCCAGATCAGATGTGCTGTGTTAGATGCCTGTTTTAAAGAGCAGTGAAGAGAGAGTTGGTTCTTGGTAGCATAATGTGAATCTCTTCTCACCCAGGCCTTCCTGACCACCATCTGGTGGGGGGAGCTTACAGTGGACACAAAGCTGTGGAGGGTGTTGCTGTGCATGCTGTTCTTCCCGCTCATCTACACTGGTCTCGTCACATTCAGGTTCCTGTGAATGCCACCTATTTATATCATATTTACGGTTGTTCTTTAGTGTGTCTTCAGACAAATACTGTTATTCTATCCATTTAAATAATAGTATTGTAATGCCACTAAGGCTTTTTGAAGTCCTCAACTAGCCACTTAAATATTGAAGCAAAATTAAATTGATTTGTCTGAACTATGAACCCAGAAAAATATAGTACAGCAGACTTATAAGTAAATACTGCATTGTCATGTCATATTAAAACAAATGTAGAGTTTCAGAGTGGCAATATAGTGCATCAGGAAAACTATTGTTATAAGCCTAACTTTATTATGTAAAATCATTATAGTCATACTGTAATTTTCCTTGGTTTAGTCCTTGTGCTTGAGTTTAAGAGTGTTTATTACTTAAGTGTTTATACAACTTATAGTGTTTACTAAGGTGTTTTATACAGTCAGCCTGTGCCTACCACCAACACTAGAAAGACCTGCAACACCAATCTTATTGATTTACAACAGTTAACCGAAGGGGAATTTAAACCTAAAAATGGGTACATAACAAAAGATTTAATCTGGCAAATCAGTGACATGTGGCAAAGTTTTTTCTGATGCACCCTACAGCACGTTTTTTCACCAACAGACGTGATGAAGAAATCCAGAAGGAGATACAGAGAAACAAAGAGATTGACGGTCTAGAAACCATGGCTTTTGGACATCCTGAGACAAAGCTGTGGACAAACTTCCGGTAACCATTTTAACTTTCTTAGTGTTTGGTGAATAAATTAGTTCAGGAAGAAACTAGTCAAAAAAACGGTATTACCTTTTGACACTACCGCAAACCAATAGTGCTGATAACCACATGTCCTGAATGCTGTATACTCATAGGGTGGTCTCTGGAGCCTATTTTACATAATAATGATATCATATTTTTCTATAATGTATGTGTATAATTTTATTTCTTTTTTTCATGTGGTCATTTGCTAGGATTGTACATAACATTTACAATGATTTTTAGAAAATGAAAAGCAAATTTAGATTTTTTCTTTTAAATTGACAAACGTTTCTGTCACAATTCGTTTCTGCTTAATAACAGTATATTCTAGTAATGCATAATGTATTCATAAATCATTGTATTGTTGTTTCAGCTTTTTTTCTTCCTTAATGCTACTGTAACAACAGTTAAAAGATTACCCTACTGCCAAGTATTGTGTGTAAATTCTGATTGGAGGAATTTTTTAAGGTCTTCCTGCTATAAATGGATACATCACAGGTAGAACAAATGGATTGTGTCAGCTTTCCCTTGTGACTGTGAACTCTGCTCTTTTCATCACAGCAGGCGCCAGGAACAGGTGATCCTGGTGCCTTTGAGCTTCATCAGACGCTTTAAGAACTTCTTCACCTCCCCAGTGGTCACTTTCTACTGGAATGTTATGTCATACTTTGGTTTCCTTTGGCTCTTTGCCTATGTTCTGATGATGGACTTTCAGGTCAGCCCCTCATGGACAGAGATCCTACTGTATGTCTGGCTGGCCTCACTGTTGTTTGAGGAGATCCGACAGGTGAGCTGGATTCAGCACATGCTAAATCAACACATAAACAATATTCACGTAGGCTCTTTCTAGCAAGCTTTTTTTGGAAGAAGTTCTACTTTCACTGGAATTGATACCAGGGAAAAAGATTCTACAAAAAAAAACAACAACAGAGAGTCTTGAAAATTTAACATGAATGCATAATCTAACAGTGTAGTTCAGGTTATTTATAATACCCCAAGCAACTAACTGATGAAAATAAGCCCGTTTAACATGTTCAAAAACAAAACAATAATGAGGCAGAACAATGAAATTGTTAGAATAATATTCCTTGTTTTTTATGTATTCTACGATAATATATAGTTTGTAGACACTATTCTGTTATTTCCAATTTGTGTTATCTTATCTTCTTAAGATATTATCATTAATATCATCTTATCATTATCTTATCTTATCATCCCAGGGCATTTCTCGAAAAGAGTAGGGGTGTAACCCCGGCATCCTGGCCAAATTTCCCATTGGCCCTTACCAATCATGGCCTCCTAATAATCCCCCTCTATGAATTGGCTACATTACTCTGCTCTCCTCCCCACTGATAACTGATGTGTGGTGAGCGTTCTGGCGCACTATGGCTGCCGTCGCATCATCGAGGTGGATGCTTCACGTTGGTGGTGGTAGAGGGGAGTCCCCATTACCTGTAAAGCCCTTTGAGTGGAGTGTCCAGAAAAGAGCAAAATAAGTGTAAGCAATTATTATTATTATCTACAGGGGGAAATGAAGAGAGTAGTGCTGCCACTATTGCGACTAACAGTTCTAAATAAAGTTTATCTCCTTTAAAAGCCAGATCTTTCAACTGGTAAAACTGTTGTGTGCCTACACCTTCTCCCAAGAACCAATAATGATACTGTAGTACTTTACATATTATACTTTACGTCGATGTTCAATGTGAAAAGAAACATGAGTTGAGATGAGTTGCATGTTCTGGAGGTTGGAAGCATATTGTCTGCATCTCTCCTGTGCCAATAGAATGATTGTATCAGAGAGATAGTTAATTATTGGCAATTCTAAATTGGGAGGACATAAAATAAAAATGCATATTGATTTTAGCTTTTAAAACATACAATTTCATATTGATATTATTATAGTGCAGAGTCTAACTATAAATAGTGGTTTGTGAAACTGTATGAAATGTTGATGCTGAGCTACTGATCCTTTCCAAATTACGGAATAAAAGTCAAATTTGAATTACCGCTTTATCAAAAATGCACCAAACGTGTCACTGATTTATTCAAATACCTCACACTAGTTATAATTGTAAAGTTTAAACATTGAAGCTGGATAAGCTCTACAAAAAAGGCTAATACAATTTGAGTTCAAATAAAAAATAAGCCTGCAAATACATTCGGCCACTTACATGGTTTCTGTGGTACACTAACAATGTATTTGTTAATTTGTCTTGTTTTGTTTTTGTTTGGACAGCTGTTTCATGATCCAGATGGTTTTGGAGTACAAAAGAAGGCACAGATGTATTTCAATGACACGTGGAATAAGGTTGACATGCTGTCCATTTTCATTTTTATAGCAGGACTATCATGCAGGTTTGTCTATATGTTTTTTTTCCATGAAATAAAACTGGAAGAATTACACTATGCATGGTGCCTTTTGTAATACATGTTTCAGAACAATGTTCCAGGTGAACCAATGACTGTAAAAATTATAAAAGAGTGGGGCAGAACTGGTTTATCTCTGAAAATATACAATTTAAGGTTATTCAGATTTTATGGCACTGAGATTAAAACTCTTTCTTTTAAGCAAGTATATTGTTAAAGCTTAACATGAAACTGAAGCTTTATATCTTTTTGGTGAATCCATCACCTTATGTTGTTGGTGACATACAGTAATATCAGTCACCATGGCATTTCGTGTAACATCTCAATTTGAGAGATGAACGTGCACCTGAACTCAAACAAAGTAATTTAAATTCTGGTACATTTTTTTCAGGTTGACCACGACAGCCTTTTATGATGGAAGAATTATACTCTGCTTTGGTTTTATCATTTTTTGCCTGAGACTAATGGCCATCTTTGCAGTTAGCAAGACCCTGGGCCCGAAGATCATCATAGTCAAGCGAATGGTACAGACAACAAAAACACAGCCAAGCAACCTGCTGACTAGCATTTATTAAGTTTATTTTAATTTCTGTTTAAAACTTTAGTGTTGTTAATTTCAGATTTTGTATTCATCCCTGTTGATTTCCACTGCCATTACACTGTCCATATTAAAATTTGCAAGACTAAAATTTCAATCTTAATAATACACCTTTTCTGGTCCTAAATAGTAATTAAAACACATACATTACTCACTACATTACAAGGTTTGGTATTATTTTATAGTTCAATAATTACACATATTATTTTTTCATAATACTGCTACAGCTCCAGCTATGAAAGTGGCTGTTGAGTTGTCTGGGGATCTAGAAGCAATGGCCATGTTCTAATTTCTAATTACTATAAAGAGTAATATACATAAAAGAATATGTATTAAGTCCAGTTTTATGAGGTTTGATGAATGTGAATGTGAATATTTGCAGTTTTTGAGGTTTCAAATTGAGTAAAAACAATATACGGAGGACATGGTGTTTACTCAGCTGTCTTGTTAAAAAGATGGATATAGAAACAGACAAAGGAACTAAAGAGACAGAAGGAGAGAGGAAATTCTAGTTGTTTTTGAAGTTTTGAAGTATTTGTTAAGTGGATACTAAGAGACTGTGAAAACATCACACTCTCGATACCTTAGTCTGAATCAAACAGAGTAAAGACCTGTGAGGCAGAAGTACAGTACTAACCACCACACCATGTCAATATCGATATTATTCCTTACCAGAATACTGGAGAATGATATATTCCATGGGAGATACCCAACCATTCTGAAGTATTAGGGTTGTGGTTGTGTCCCATAGCTTGTTCTTGATAGCTATTATGTAGTAGCAGATTTGGCGTTTTGCTCACTGTCCTGTGCTGTTGCAAAGAAACTAATTCAAATGACAACACAAGAGATAGTCTTAAGGGTTTTCAAACAAAGGTTGGCAACAAAACATCAACAAGGAGCATAATTCAGACTACAAAAGGTTACTGAGCCACTGTCTCCATCTCAGACTCTGGCAACTGCTTTTGACTCTGTGGTTGAGAGCCCCTGTGCAGCAGGTTTAATATGATATGTCACCACTATCACCAATTTATAAATACCTGGAGCAATTTGATTGTGATTTGGTATATAAAGCAGACAGTTTGTTAAATTAAGTAATTTAGAAATTCTCTAGATCCAAAATGAGAGGAAGCTTCAATGGCCAGAGTTCTCTTAATTGAAGGGATTTCTTCCTTCATATATCAGGAATTCCAGGTATTCCTGATCTCTAGAAACAGGTCGGGCCTATGATAATATTTGGATTATTATTTGGAAGGGTCTCTGGGTAAAGAGTTGGAGATTCTGCTGTTCTGTAATATTTTGGTAGAGCTACTGTATACTGTTTACAGTATTTTATTCTAGTACAAGATAAACAATGTCCGAATGTATATTTGAATACATGTAGACAGAAAATGATGTTGTAAAGCTATTAAAACTGTGGAGTGGCAATAAAACCTTAAATATAAGAAAATGAATTAACTGAAATCCCAGGAGTCTAGGGGAGATTTTGATGCATGCAGAGCAACACCAAACCCTTATTGTCCCAGGCGTATCGGATGCTCGGTCACCTTAAGCCATTTATATCCTTTTGTCCTTCTTATGCTCTTCCCCCAGATGAAAGATATTTTTTTCTTCCTTTTCCTGCTGGGAGTCTGGGTAGTGGCTTATGGAGTGGCTATGCAATCCATCCTCATTCATAACGAGACTCAGTTGAACTGGATATTCCGGGGTGCTGTTTATGAGCCCTACTTGACCATATTTGGAAATATACCATCCAGGATTGACAGTAAGTTCATGGAACAGAGACCCCTGCTGGCAGGAAGCTACAGAGCTTACCATCTGCAAGGCAGGGGTGTCAAGCTCTGTTCCCCTAGGGCTACAGTTGTTCTGGTTTAATTCCAGCCAAAGTCACAGCCAGCTAATCTACTTATCTAATTAACTGGGAGCATTTAATATTTAACATGCTCAAAAACTTCAGTCTGTAGAGAATCTTGACACCATTTTATAAAAAAGTGGTCCTGAATACAAAGGAATATAAAGGTGGTCATAAGCCATGACTGGGGCTTGCTTAATGGTGAATGGGGATTTCTTTCCTGAACAAAACAGACAGTGTCGAAATCATGCATGTGTGTTACTGTATATCATAATATATCAAGTCATAATAATACTTGACAAAGCATTGGAGGGTCAAACAAACTTTCTGAACTGAGACACTGATGCATAAAATTGCATAGCTTATCAACTCAATCACTAATACAATAGCATTTCTTACAATATCTAAGATGCTTAATGTGAATATAGAATAATGCTATTACTCTGTAACAGTATTACTCAATACTCAAAGGTATTGCTAAGATAGAAACAAAAACAATCTAGTAATGGAGCAGCAAATACTGTATATTTTTCCATAGTTTCTTACCTGTATCAGAGAGAATAATATCAGTGAGAAATCTGAAGGAGTAATATAGAAAATCAAACTCATGCAGCCTACGCCTGTCACTTATAGTAAGTACAGTAACTGCTTCTAGATTACCATGTTGTTTGTGAGCCCTGTTTTGAGCAGTGTGAATAAAAAGTAAAAGTAAAAAAGTAAAGGATAATTGCAAAAAAACATAAAAAGAACATACAGTATTTAGATTAAATATCCATGCCGGAAAAACAAACAGTAGGTAGTGCAGCCCACCAAGACGTTTTCCAACCCTGCTATAAAGGTACTGCAGGGACCTTTGTCCTTTTTAGGCCTAAGTGATCATTACCCTGTGGAAAACTGACTCCACAACATATGAGCACTGAAATTTGTTTTCCACTTGCTATGACAGAGTTGTTTTTTTCTGTTGTTTTTTGCAGGTGTTAACTTTGACAACAGTACATGCAGTTTAAATGGTGATGACCCTCTGATGCCTAAGTGCCCAGTCCTGAACGCTGACGGCACTCCTGCCTTCCCAGATTGGCTGACTATCATTCTGCTGTGTGTCTACCTCCTCTTTGCCAACATCCTGCTCCTCAATCTGCTGATAGCCATGTTCAAGTAAGGCCTTTCATCTTGATGCTTCTGATTTTGAGATTCTTATTTTATCAGGAATATATTCCTTTTCATGTGTGTGCAGTTATTCTGTGCAAGAGATTATAAGGGAGGCACATGCTAATTGTGTAATTAAAATTTCCTTAATTATTTTTACAGCCTAAATTCTATAATGATAATACCTATAACCTAAAAGTTATCAAACGGGATGGTTTAGATGGGTTTCTTTACATTTCGTTATAAATTGAAATCCATATCAGGGTATGATGCTGTCTATAAAATTAGAATTTGAGGACAAAATATGCTAAATAAATGGCACTAGTGTTTCTTTGAATAAACGCAAGAAGACCTATTTTTCTCTTTTCGTGTTGAAAGAAGAGGTTCTACAAATGGAAAATCTTTAAAGCAATATTTTAATTACATGTAAAAGTTTGTTTTTGTTTTGTACAAGACAATGCACTCAGGCTGCAGCAGCTTGGTCTTATTATGAAGTTTATATTATTTTTCATGTGGTCCAAATTCCATAAATCTAATAAACAAATCTGATCTCTTTTACAAATCTGTCAAACGTTAGGAGGCGTTCTCTCCAGAATGAACTTTTCAGTTATAATCATTAAAAAAGAAAATAAGTGTTCACTATTCATTATGGAGTTCTCTCCATCATATTCTGCAATGGATAATTTACAATTCTTACAATGGATAATTTAACTTGTAATAATATCATCCAAGAAGACTTAATCATGAGCATGCTCATATTGATAATAACAGATGCCCAGGCAACTGCGAATATGTAAGCAAATTTCCCTTGCTCATTCCCTGTTACCCTTGAACTTTCATAGCTACACATTTCAAGAGGTCCAGGATCACACAGACAACATTTGGAAGTTCCAGCGCTACCAGCTGATTGAGGAGTATCACAGTCGCCCCTCCGCTCCCCCACCCTTCATCATCTTTAGTCACATCTTCTTCTTCATCAGGCGTATCATCCTTCGAAGACCCTCACAGAGGCACAAAATGTTTCGTGAGTCTTGAGGTCACAGCCTGCAGGGCCTGGTTATTGTTCGAGCACTTGCCCTTGCTTTATTGCACAAACCAGCATGTACTGTTTTATCACAAGTATACAACTAACTGGTTCTATCCAGTTCCTAACTGGAATTCCTAACTGGAATTCTTGCTGCACTTGAGTTTCTTGTTATTTCCCTGAACTAAATATAAAATAATGTTTTATTTGTTATTTAATATTAAGTCTATATAAATAGGTAAAAACAGGTTGTGAGATATGTTAGCTTCCATCCATCTCTTTTCTAACAACGTCTTTCAATTCAAGGTCATGGGGGGAACCAGAGCCTGTCCTGGCAAGCACCAGCTGTCCATCGCAGGGCAGACACACAGACACACACTCTCACCTAGGACCAGTTTTCCTAGTATGAGTTTGGACTGTGGGAGGAAACTGGAGCACCCTGAGAAAACCCAAACGAAAAAATATAAACTCCAGGCAAATAGCTCCAGGGCCCCAGCAATGTGGGGCAACAATTTTAACCACTGCACCACTGTGCTGCCCTCGTTTACTTTCAGGCTTTGCAATTTTTCAGTTCTAAAAACCTGTGTTTTTATAAAAGGCTAATTATGTATTCTTAGCTGAGATTGTCTCAAAACTACAGGCAGGCTGGCATGGATCTTAATATGTGCTAATAATTAGGAAGATTCTTCTGTGTGTGCTAAACTAGTGGATCCATAAGTAATTTATACAACTATCAATCAGAGAAGAAATTGTCTATTTAAATTGTGGAAAGAAACTGTCTAATTGAGGTTGTTCAAAACTTTTGTGATATCGATTGATACTGTAAAAATATGGCTTGACTTTGAAAAATGAAGCAAACGGTGGATAACTTTTTTTTATCAGAATTCATTTCATTTTAAGGGATATTAAAACATACAGTAACAAGGGATTGACACAAATCTAATGCTGGGATTACCCCACTCTCTGTGTTATGCTCTGTTAGACAATGAATTGTCAGCGATGGGGGAGGCAGAGTTGCTGTCCTGGGAGACTTTCATGAAGGAGAACTATCTGGCCAGCCAAAAGCAAGAGAGGAACCAAAGCACTGAGTACAAGATCCATGATACAGCAGAGAAGTATGACACCTGACCTAGCACACACAATGACATAGTAGTCAACTACACCACAACACTAAACTCCTAAGACACTGTTTCAGTTGTAGCCATCCCCAAGAATACTGCTAAATCCACTGATGCTCTTTAGTTCCAATATTGTTATACAGTATCTTCTCCAGGTTATGTGGGATATCACAATAGGCTGTATGTCTGAATGAGTAACCTTTAAATACAATTTAGATCACGTTATCTGTCTTGTTTGAAAGCTAAGCATTCAGGTCATAGTAAAGATGCATTTTCACTAGGAGGAAGGTCTTAAGTTTTTAATAGAACAAGTTGTGCATGTTGCAGTAGAGCTTCAAACATGCTCTTCCGTGTACTAATGTGTGTTGCTTAAATAAAACATCTCAAATCTGTGTAAACTGACTCAGTTCACAGTATAATATTCCAACAGATGGGTGACTTCCTGTCATTTTATAACCTTTCCTAAATTTGAAGATTAACTTGTAAGAATGTGAAGAACGGGAAGAGAAATTATATAAATGTTGCTTAAACATTTGTAGAAAAATGCAATAGTGTATTGGCTGTATCATTTGCAATCATTCAGCTTGCTCTTTAAAAGAGATACACATGCTTGATATACTATAGCCAAAGCAAGTGACATGAAAAGAAAAAAATATTGCCTGGTCAACTCCAAGGAAGCAGTTTAGTTATAACGTGCTCTATGATTTGCTAGTTTTGCCCAGCTCATGTTATCTATTGAAACTTCATATTTAATATCACTCAGTTTTCCAGAAGTGTTTGTGGTTCATGTACAGTACCCTACTAAAACAGAAAACACAAGCCTGGATGTGCTAGTAAAAGACATTCACCTGTAAACTGACATATTTACAGTACACTTTTGATTATTTATAGCTATACCAAACTAGTAGAGTAAACTAGTGAACTAGGGATAAACAGGAGAACGCACACAGCAGGCCTGATGCATTATTTTTGGTGATTTCCCACAGGGTCGGTGTGGTGGTAGATCTGCTGGAAGGGGAACATAACAGGGAGTCAGCATCCTTGGTGAAGAGACTGGCTAAACTGGAAGAACAGGTTTTTATTTTGTCACTTCCATTTTGTTAATTAGGGCATTATTTCCATTTCTATCATAACAGAAAATATATATACAAGGGAAGGAATCTTAGTAAAACTTTAATTTAGTTGTCATTCATTAATTGGCTATACTTTGCGGTTGAAGAAAATTGTCTTCCATGAACCTGAAAGTGACAGATAAGACCAATATAGGACCCCCTCTGGCAGACTGAGCAGGAGATATTTGGTCTTGTACTGTACAATTCCAGTCCCAGTGAGCTCTAATCGATGCTCTCGCTTTGCAGAAGCCAGCTTTTTTAACATCCTGCCTTAGAGAAATGAGTAGTATAGATCTTGAAAAGTGCTGCTCAGTCAAAGTTACAATTGCCACAATGCAGTTCAGCTTGGTGACTCTCCAGTTATCATATCTCACATCAGTGCTCTTAGACATCTCTAACCTGCTCTCACTGCCATTAGATGGTCACTAAAGGAGACCAAGATGTTTGGAGATCTCATGCTACTATATGACTAAAATTTCACAATTAGAATAGGATTATGCATGTGTTACTCATATGCTAGTGCACTGAATAAGCTGAATTTCAGCAATGAAGTACTAATCAAGGACATGGTCACTCATGTAGTAAAGTGTTGCTATAATCTTTAAAGTGCGTCTTTAAAAAGATAACTAAGGTTATTTCCATTGATCCTTTCCAGCAGGTCTCCTTGCCTTCAAAGATGTGCTTGGTGTTTTCTACTACTATTTTATTACTGCTTTGTATGTAAAATTAAAGCTTAGACTTTAGTTTCCATTGTCAACAATCCAGCAGTATTCATGTGCACTGACGTTCACACAAAATATGCAAGAGAGAAAACTACTTACTGTACATTAAAGAAATCGGGTGACTAGTACCTCTTGTCACTTGGTAAAGCTCCTCCTGTCAATGTTGAGGGAAATTAAGATGCATAAAAAGCTTTAGCGTCAGTTGTGGTATTTAAATAAATTAGAATACAGAATTAATTCAAACTCATCACCACTAATCACCACATAAATTAAGTAATTCAAGGTGGGCATTTATTTCATCATTATGGATAAGACCACATACTGTACAGTATCTAACCACATTGCTTGGTATTATTGTGAACATAGATTTATTTTCTCTATCTTCCAACAGAAAAAAAAAACATTCTGTTGTCCTTTTTATGTAATTAAACCTGAATTGCTATAATTCCAATTAAACAACATTCTCATTATAATGCTGTCTTGTAAACAGAAATAATATTTTTTTAATCACTGCCATTAAATTCTAAATTATAAAACCTAAGTATGTCAACTTGTAAACAATTTTGTAAACTAACATCACAAAGATAATTGGTAATTTATCTGGGAGAATAAAAAGGACACTTTGGTTAAATAGTCAATATTGTGTTGCTAAAAATAAATAACTATTTATTTAATAAAATTACAAATCAGTTTAAATCACAAGAGATGTTATAAATCTTGCAGTTTTATTATGTGGTGCTTGTGTTTTTTGTTGTACAGGTATCACAGTCAACCAAAGCTTTACAATGGATAATGAATGCTTTAAAATCAAATAGTCTGGAGACCAAAGAAGATGCCACATTTCTTTGTAAGTCTTGCTTGTTCTAGTTGAAGCCATTTTTTAATTATTTCCTGAAAAACTTTGAAGGAAGTTAGTATGGGATTTAGGGGATACTCAATAACTGGGGTTCTTAACCTGTGGGTCACGCGATAAGCAACAGAAACAGGACTGACCAAAGGTTATTGCCCACACTAGGGCTGTAAATGGGACACGTACAGTACGCAGGTTCAGGGTGGTTACACATCAATGGACAATAAAAGAGGTAAACAATTAACTATTATATACATCTGCACGGTTAAGACTATTTACATTAACAGGGTGACTTAGTATTCACTGCGAGCCCACAGACCATCCCCTGGATACAACTCCCAGCCTGCTTTGCGGTGCGCCCGTCAAGGCCGCTACATTTATTTCTATTGGGTTTTCCATGAGCTGTATGTAGTATTTGTAGCACTTTTTTGCGCAAGTTAGTCGTGATTAGGTGTACAGTAGGTGGCACTGGAAGAGTGAGAGCTAAAGTTAATGTGAAGAAATCGAAAAAAAAACAAGAAAATGAGAAAATACAACGAAAAGTACCTGAAGTACGGATTTACAGACAAGTGATGGCGAGGATGCATGACTGCTATGTGTAGTTTGTGGCGAAGTGTTGACTAAGGAAAGCCTCAAGCCCTCCAAACTGCTACGCCACTTGGTATAAATCTGTTGAGTTTTTTAATGAAAGCTACAGGAGCTAAGAGGCCAACAATCTACCCTCCAAAGAGCCAACACTTTGAACCAGTAGGGACTTCAGCCTGAAGTTCAGGCATCTTTCGTCATAGCTAACCGGACTGCCAAAACTGGGAAGCCACACACGTTAGGTGAGACTTTTTTCTTACCGAGCGCTAAGGAAACAGATTCAATCATGTGTGGGAAAAGCGCTGCAGAGCAGCTAGCATTAATACCAGTGTCAATGATACAGTGTCTAACCTCATTGGGCGTGTGGCAAGAAACGCGAAAGAGCAGGTGATCACTAAGATAAAATCTAGTGTATTTTTCTTTACAACTTGACGAGGCCACTGATGTCTTAGCAGATGCACAAATTCTTGTTTACAGAAGATTTGTTGAAGAGAAAGAAATTCATGAGGCTCTTCCCGAGCGTGCCACTGGTGATCGACTTTTCATTTTGCTGGACACATACATATGTACATGAGCATGAAATTGACTGGAAAAAGTGTGTGGGAATCTGCTCAGACGGTGCCCGAGCTATGACTGGCAAACACAGTAGGCAAGTCAGGAAAGTACAGGCCGTTGCTCCGTTCACTTTGTAGAATAAGTTGTATGATTCATAGACAAGCCCTAGCGGCTAAGGAAATGCCCCCCAAACTCAACAAGTAATGGATGAAGCTGTTCGCACTGTAAATTCCATCAAGGTCAGTGCAACAAGCTCACGACTTTTAAAGATGATTCCAAAAATGAAGTGTAGTATGACTGGAGAGGCAACCTTTTGCTACTACGCACCCAAACTCTGGAACAGTATTCCTAAAAATATTAGGGAGGCTGGCTCTGGATATTTTTAAAAAGCAGCTCAAAACTTTTTTTTTTACTCTTGTCTTTACTTGATTTTTCTTATATAATTTCAGTGCTATTTGTATTGTGTGTGCATGGTTCTTTTAGTTTGTTATTGTTGCTTATTTTAAGTTGCTTAAAGTGTTAAGTTACTTTCTTGTAACAAGCAGTTTTGAGTTGCAAAAAATGTGAGAAAGGTGCTATATAAATAACAATTATTAGGATTATTGTTGTTGTTATTAAATGATTAGTCTCAATTTATTCAATGTGACAATTTTTAAATCTGGGGGACGACATTTTTTTAATCCCAAAAAAGGGTCGCACTCTCAAAAAGGTTAAGAACCCCTGCTCTAAGCAATTTCCAACCATTTTATTTGCAATCACATTTCGTCTGGGTAGTCTGCAGCACTTTTTCCAGGACTCTATTAACAAAACATTGAAAAAAAGTCACTGTAATGAATATATTAAATCAGAGGTTCCCAACCTATCACAGCTCGCAGCCCACATGACCAACCATCAAAACTTCTACAGCCCATAGAAGGATCAGGCCGTCATCACCGTTGGAAAAGGGCTAGTGGTATAGCTCAGCAGTAGCCTAATCGACACCGGTTATCAGAGAAAATACACATATACAAGCTATAAACATGGCTTAACAAAGACCATTTATTGATTACAGAAAGAGTCCAGTCAGCACCTCACAAAAATAAAATTATTAAAATTAAAATAAGAAAAATATTGTAAAAACTAAGGCACCAGTACAGCTCTTTCTTATTTATATATCTCGTACTAAACGTTAGCCTTGTCAGAAACAAAACTGAATGGGCAGAATCAAAAGGAACTGAATGTTTTTACACAAGTGCGGGGTAGCCTTCTGTGCCAATGAACTTATGAAAACGTTGAGAAACAAAAAATATGCACAATAACTATCAGACCAATTATAAAACAGAAGGACATGTTAACTCCCTAACACATAGATTTTCCAATGGACGCAGGAATGCACAGTCACTCAGTAGCCTGCAACTAGCCCGGCAGTAAATGTTGTATCTTCTCATGAAGCAAAGAGTGACACGGAGGCGGGTGTGGAACAATGAACTATATATTAAAGTAAAGGTTGGTTGTACAGAACATTACAACGATCCAACATTGGTAGAGCCATCTGATGGACTATTACCTGTACTTCCAATATTACTTATACATTTATTTATATATATCACTTTACTACACTCCCCCTTCTCAAGCTTACAACTGTAGTTTCTCAATAAATGTTCACAGTATGGAATAACAAAACTTTTTTTTTTACACACAGCAACAAAATCCCTAGTCTAGGAAGTTCAGGGTAGACTACTTGACTTCCGTGAGATCAGGGCACATTCTTGCCCTTTCCGCAACACGATCTCACTCCTATCTAACATAGTCTTTCAAGAAGGTGGGAGAAGGTCTCTCTCATGTAGAGAGTCTCCACTCTCCGGGGATGCCTTCTCTGGCTCCTGCGGTGTCACAGCAGGACCACATTCTGCATCAGAACTCTCCTGAGGCCCAATAAGTCCTTCTGGAAGAGGCTCCAGCTCTTCTTGGCATCTCCCTCTAAGGATCTATCCAGTGATGGCCTTGGATCTGAATAACATTTTCCGATTTGATCAACATGTCTCTGCATTCTCTGTCCATTTTCTGAGATCACTGTATATGACACTGGGCCTGAGCATGTCTCTATGGAAGCAAGTATCCATTTCAGCCCCTAACTGACGTTTTGCACGAACACGGGATATCCTGGTGAAAAACTTCTCATTTTAGCTGTTTTCTCATGATCCAATTTTTGCTTCATTTGCTTCCGTTCTATTTTAGTCTTAAGGCCTGGCTTGAGTAAATCAAATGTGGATCTTAGTTTTCTGGACATCAGTATTTCTGCAGGTGATAATCCTGTTGTTACTTGAGGCGTGATACGGTAACTGAACCGTAACCGTAACGGTAACTGCACCATTGTCTGACACCATCATCTGCGGTAATCCATGGGTACTGAACCTTCGTCTCAGCTTTTCGATCGTCGCCTGTGAGGTGGAAGTCTTCATGGGGTAGACGTCCATCCACTTTGAATGGGCATCGATGATCACTAGAAACATATGTCCAAGGAATAGTCCTGCGTAGTCCACATGAATCCGAGACCATGGCTGTTCAGGCCATTCCCAGGGGTGTAATGGTGCATTCGGTGGCACTTTTTTTGGCTGACATTCGCTGCATCTGTTAACTTCTCTCTCTTTATCTTGATCCATCTGTGGCCACCACAAGTAAGAACGGGCTAAGCCTTTAATCTTAAACATCCCTGGATGCGACTGATGCAACATTTTTAAAAGAATGGACTGTCCCTGCAGAGGGATGACTACTCTCGCTCCCCACAGGATACATCCATCACGCAGACTCAGAGCCAGTCATCGTGAATATTACGGTGTGAGTTGGGGATCTGTTACACGAGGCCATCCTCATAAGATATATTCGTGCACTTGCGATAGTATGACGTCCTTCGGTGTCCACTTCTTGATTTGTGCCATTTTAACTGGTGCATCATCCATCATGTCCAACATTAGATCTTGGCCTTGTAACTCTTCGTCCTCACCTTTTTCTGGAACTGGAAGTCTACTAAGTGAATCTGCATTGCTGTGGTCTTTGCCCGGTTTGTAGACAATTTTGTACTCATACGCACGTAGCAAAGCTGCCCATCGTTGAATACTGGGTGAAACCATCTGAGGAACCGGTTTCATCTCGTTAAATAAAGAAATTAGAGGTTAGTGGTCTGTATAAATGGTGAATGTTCGACCATATAAGTACTTGTGGAATCTTTCAATTCCAAAAATAACTGCTTGTCCTTCTTTATCCAGCTGCGAGTATCTTTTCTCAGCAGGTGTTAGTGTTCTGGACAAAATACAAAAAAACACTGCGCCAATCCCTTATGGTGAGGTATCACATGATAGAATCAACTCTCTGTCTGCAGAATAATGAACAAACACTTTTGCTGATCTAGTTCTTTAGATTTCTTGAAAGCCCTTTCTTGTCTTGGGGTCAACTTTCACTCGGCATCCTTTCTAAGCAGCTTATGCAGTGGTGCCAGCAGTGTGGAGAGATTTGGAAGAAAGCGATTGTAATAATTGAGTAACCCTAGGTAAGTCTTGAGCTCTGTAACATTTGTGGGCGATGGGGCCTCCCCTATAGCTTTAACTTTCGTTTCTAGAGGATGCAGCCCCTTGGCGTCCACTTTGTGTCCTAAATAATGGACTTCCTTCTCCAACAGTGTGCATTTGCTTCTTTTTAGATGCAATCCGGCTTCCTTCAGCCTACTGAGCACTTCATCCAGGTTCTGTAGATGCTCTTCTTCATTTGCTCCTGTTTCAAGAATATTGTCCAAATATACTGCAACCTTCAGTATGCCCTGCAACAAGCCTTCCATCATACTTTGGAATATTGCAAATATTGCAGCGCAGAGGATACCCCAAAAGGCGTCAGTTATAAGTGAACATTCCCTTATGCGTTGGTATTGTCAGGTATTTCTTGGATTCTTCATCCATAACTATGTTTATACGCATGACTCATGTCCAACCTTGAAAATTGCTTACCCCCTGACAAAACTGCAAATAAGTCTCCACTCTTGGTATCAGGTACTGCTCTAGCGAAGAGACTCTATTGACAGTCAGTTTATAATCTCCACAAAGTCTAATTGAATGATCTGGCTTCAGAATGGGTACTATGGGTGCTGCCCACTCCGAATGTTTAACAGGAGTAGTAATTCCTTATTTCAATTACCTGCTGATTTCAGCTTCTACTCTGGGGCGCATTGCGAAAGGAACTGATCTGGGGCTGTAAAACCTTGGAGTAGTGTCAGGTGTGACATGAATTGTAGCCTTGATCACTTCCCTCTAAAAGGAAACTCATCTTTAAATACTTCCTCGTTCTTTGCTAGAACTAGTTGTAAAGTCAACCTCTCAGCTTTCCCATATTTAATTTCTCCCCAGTTCAGCTTTATTTCATCCAACCAGCTTCTTCCTAGCAGGTTTGGACCTGAACCTTCTACTACAAAGAGTGGTAGTATTTTCAGTTGCGCGTCGTATTGCACTTGCACTTCAGCTGCACCCAGCACCTTAATGCTCTCCCCAGTGCATGTTTTCAATCTGAGAGATGTGCTTTTTAATGTGGGCCTTTCAGCACCTTTCCAGTTTTCTTTTAAATTTGTCTGATTCATTAATGTGACCCTGCAACCCGTGTCTAGTTCAAATGTCATCTATTTACCATTAATTTTCAGATCTACCATCAGTGGTTTCACGTTTGCATTTCTATCTTGCACATTGTACATGGACCTGCGCTATCTTTAGTGCATTTTCAAACTTTAAATCAGTCTCTTACAATAGCTTCCTTTAAGTCCGGTTATCATTTATTCCACACACCAGTCTATGCCTGAGCATTTGTGTATTGCCGTAGTTGCAATCCTGCGTTAATTTACGCAGCTCTGTCACATACTCAGCTATGGTTTCATTTGGCCTCCTTGTGTGTGAATCTAATTGAAATCTTTGCATAATTTCACTTGGTTTGGGGTTAAAGAGATCTTTTAGTAGTATAACTAGATCTTCATACGATTTGCTTCCTGGCTTATTGGGACTTACCAAATTCCTCATTAAAATGTACAGTACATCTGTGCACCAACCATGCTGATGAGAACTGCTCTTTTCTTATCGCCGTTTTCTATTCCGTTAGCAATAAAGAAATGCTCCAGTATCTCTCAGTACTCCTCCCATGTTTGAACATTCTGATCAAACGCAGCGAGCGAGCCTATTGTCCCAGCCATTCTTCTTTCATTTTCACCCCCCTTTTTCAACCACAAACTGTCCTACCAGATTCTGACTTCTGCCTTGTCCGGAGAATGTTGTCAGTAGAAACAGCTGTTTTTGTCTGAAATGCTTGGATTCACGCTTTAACTTTCATCCTTGTCGCCAAAATATGTTGTATCTTCTCATGAAGCAAAGAATGGCACGGAGGCAGGTGTGGAACAATGAACTAGATATTAAAGTAAAGATTGGTTGCACAGAACATTACACTACCGATCCAACATCTTTCTCTCACGCTAGCTCTCTTCAACTGACCTCAAGCTCCCCAGTTCTTCCCGATTTTCTCCTTTGCTTTCTGGCGCCAAAACTATAACAGCTTCCTACAATTTAGGAAAATGGGGTAGAGCCATCTGATAGACTATTACTAGACTCGGAGACCGCTTCAGAGAACGCGTCAGGGCTGTGAAGATTAAAGATCTCTCCAAGCCCATTGTTTCTCATTTCACCTCTGACGGCCACGACCACTCTAATCTCTCCATTTGTGTTCTCAAAAGAGTTTTCCGAACTCATACATCAGAAAGACCACCGAAACTAAAATCATTCTGCAGCTAGGATCACACATTCTCCCTTCCCTTAACGACAGACTACTGTTCTTTTAAATTTTCTCCATTCATTGGAAGTTTCATTTCACACCTCTCTGCACCCATTCTGACTTCACACCTCTTGATTGGCCTCTCTTTCTGTCCCCTGCTCCCGGCCTCTCACTCCTCCTCCCTCCCAACCTTTGTTCTCCCGCTACTTTACCTTTGCCTACTGCCCTGTCTCTCTCATACCTGAAGAAGGCTCCACGGCCGAAACGTTGTGTTCTCTTTCTTCTTTTTTTTCAGCATGGAATAAACCTATTACTTGTTCCTATCACTTTACTACAGTAAACACGCACACCTTCTTTCTGGCTCACTTAGTGAGAAGGCTGGTTTTCTTTGACACATTCCGAATGCTGGATGTTGGGCTGCAGAGACGTATTTTGTTTGGCTTTAAAGCCTTGTTTGATAACAGGATAAATGTAAGCTTGTCTGTTGCTGAGTCTTGCAGGGGAACAGGTCGCGTTATCCGTTTCTACATATTTTGGAATGAATGCGCCAATGACCGATTACAAATCATCTGGACAGCCACATTTTCCAATAGACCATTGTGTTTTAATTTTTAATATGCCAGTTTAATATTGCTATTGGAAAATACACCGCGTTCCCCACCCCAGACATATGAACTCTTGTTTGTTTATTTTACAGATGGTCTTTTCTAAAAAAAACTGTCATTTTAATGATGTTAGCAACGCCCCCCCCCCTTAGATCTGGGCCTGGGTGCAGTTGCACCCATTGCACCTCCTGTAGCACCGGCACGGATTACAACAATCATTTCACGGCCCCCGCTGCACTACAGTACCTCTGGCGGGCCGCGGCCCACAGGTTGAAAACCATTGTATTAAAGCGTATTTTAAATCTGCATGAAAGCATTATGTGGTTATTCTGATTCATTCCAGGTGGGGGAGTACAAACTGATTTGTGAGAGTTGTGCATTGATTTTCCATTAAGTCTGTTGCCACATACCTGTACCAACTGACAATAACAACTTGAGTTACCAGTAATTTTTATTAAACCTTCACATTGTTGAACACAAATTATATTTTTATCACATAAGATTGCATCAGAATTGCTTTAGAATCTTTATCTGATTTCAGCTGTTAGAAACCATTATTGCTTATTATTTATTGCAGTAATTGAGACAGAGACAATACAATAACTGTCAAAATTGGCCACATGATGCTCAGCCCTATTACTACTAACATGCCACTGACTCAGTTTTGTTAAATTTACTTCAAAGTGAAAGGAAAGCAATGGATATATTTGTGAATTATATCTTCACTAAAGTGATTTTTTTAAAGAAGTACCCCAGTATAACAGTTACTATTAATGAATAAATCAACTACTTAATATCCCTTGTTTTTAGCAGCCATGTCACCCTGCTACTTACAATTGGCAACCCACTGAAGCTAAGCAGGTGTGAGCCTGGTCAGTACCTGGATACAAGACCTCCTTGGAAAAACTAAGGTTGCTGCTGGAAGAGGTATTAGTGAGGCCAGCAGGAGTTCTAATGCGTCAGTATAGTGACGGGGACACTATACTGTAAATAAGTACCGTCTTTCGGATGAGACGTAAAACCGAGGTCCTGCTCTCTGTGGTCCTTAAAAATCCCAGGGTGTTTATTGAAAAGAGTAAGGGTGTAACCCCGGCATCCTGGCCAAATTTCCCATGCCTCCTAATAATCCCCCTCTATGAATGGCTTCATTACTTTGTTCTCCCCCCCCCCTCCGACGGCAGGTGGAGCGACGCGCCGGTCGGAGTATTCTCGGTCGCATTTAATGGCAACAGCAGCTCAAAGATTTGGTTCAAACCACCAAATGGAGACAAGCGGACCCTGCTGATGCGGGATTAATGCTGGGATGAGAGAATGTCCCTTGTTTTTGGGAATTCTAGTTCAGAGACCAGACCAAGCACCATAGTCCAGCAACACCACTTGCAGACGTTATGTGTTCTACTTATAATTCTCCTAACCCAGTACTGACTAGGCTCAGTCCTTTTTTATAAGGTATTTTGAGACCCTAAGAGAAAGAAAATGATCATTTCAAGGAATAATATTAATAAATATTATTGCCTTATTATCTTTTGAATAATATTACAGTATTAGCAGAAAAGATGTTCAAAAACAATATGTAATTAAAAGGGGTCTCTGCACATAATTAGCAAAACTCAGCAGATAAGTACTCTGTATATGAATGTAGGTAAAATTACTTTTCAGTAGAGAACTCAATCACAACTAATTTTAAACCAATTCACAGCATCGCTCACTGTCCACTTTTGGCAATTTGTTTGAATCTGAAAAGAAAGTGATAACTCATTGGGACACCTGCACCTATTATTCCAGCATTTTTTGTTCTAATGTCAGCTCTAATACTCTGAAACATCTTGCATGCAATGTATTTCTGCATGCCAGAAATTACATTCTGGCAAAGAATCAGAGTTATAATTGTTTAATTAAAGATGAGCATTACTCTTTTTTAATTAGAGTTTGGCAACTAATCACATTTCCTAAATGAACAGCATTAATCTAGAACTCAAACTAAAGTAATTTTACATAATTATAAACACTGCGTTAACTTCAGTTTCTCCATTTCTGGAAATGTGGTTATCCAACTACTAGGCCCTTCATCTCCAGTTCACTGTAGCTGCAAAGCCAGGAAAGTGTTAAGTGCTGTCTTGCCTTTTTAATTCACAATATTAGTTTTATTTTGAAACTTTTAAATTTATTTTTTATCTTCATGCTTTTTTCATCTTCATTGCTTTAGGAAGATAAATAATACTGTTTGCCTTTGCTGCTACAGGTTACAGATCAATGAGCTAAAAAGTTGGTCACTGTTAGATGGGGAGAGTTAGTGCTAATTAGAATTAGTATTTTAGCTAATTAGCCTCATAATAACAACATTATTAACATTAGCAGTTTTACTTTCTTCAAGCCTGATAGCAATGTGGTCTGTTGAGTATCTCCCAGGAAGACCAGGTTGCAGCTGCATGAGTTAGCGGAACAGAAGGTGGCACTCTTACCTTTTAATCAGACTTTCTACAACTTAAGCCTTAGTATGGAGAACACTAAACAGAGGTCCCAACAACTTGGTCATTCAAAATCTGGTTCTAATATCTTGGACTTCCCCTTAATTCAATTGATGAAGCAATTACTCATTTTTCTATTGATCTTCTGTGTAATGGGGCTGCTGGTGCAGGAAGTATGCCTTTATATACAGTATGTATACAGTATATAAAAACATATGGTGGTTAATGTGACAACTGGTAATAGCACAATTTGAATAGCTTTTTCTGTGTTTATATGCTAGAGAAAATTACACAATTTACAATTTAATTCTACTGCTTTATTATTGGACTTCCAGGGGAATGTGTATATAAGGGGAGTTTATGGTTCCGAAATTTAAAGAGTATATAGAAACATATCTACCAAATTGCATTATGCTTCTGTTCTAATTGGTTAAGTATAGAGTACATCCTAACTGCTCTTTTTTTCTGGATTTTTCATTATAATCTAGAAACACCTTATGTGTATTCACTTATTTTTATTATGAAGCTAGTAAGACAATTTTAAGAGTGATTTTATTACCTGTTCTCACTATAACAGGATTAGTTTAAACTTAAGGATAAAATCTAAACATTTTTACATAGGCAGAATTTTCGTTGTTTATTTCTTTAGTTGATTTGGCCTGTATACAGAGACTTTCTGAATCAATAAAAATCAATACATGAAGGTTAAAAATAACCTTTGTTTTGGAAGTGCATGCCAGAAAATAAAAAATAAAAGGCCTTTTCAGCATCATTGAGCAGAAGCACTGAAGCTGAAAGACTGGACCTGGATGAGGAAACAGAAAAAGAGAAGCCTCAGTGCCATGTCAATGCCACACATCTTCCTTACCCTGGCACCAGCATCACCCGTTTCCCAGTGCCAGAGGAGTATGTGCCCTGGGAGGTGAGTATGCTGATATTGTAATAAAGCTTTGAATGCATGGAAATATCAAAACTAATGGTGACGGTATGATTTAAAAAAAAATCAAGTTTGTTGGATGTATGTATGTGCAGGAAATATTTTTATTTACAAAAAAGAAAGAGCAGTGTGCATTGTGTGCATTGTGTTCCATCAAGTGCTCTTAAAATGTTTTTTTAGGCTGTGATGTTTTTATGAAGAAATAAAGTATTTTAAAATTGTAAACTGTATTTGCAGGTCATGTTGTCCTTCAATTACATTGAATTTTAAAACTGTCAGCACTAGCACTAAGACACATTCATATGAATTGGTTTCAAACAAATTATTGAGCTATGTATTCCCCTAGCCCTACAAAAACATTTCCTTTATGTAATTTTCTCTTTCGTCTCAATGAGATACAGTATTATTACAATGTCATTAAAAAATCCTGGAAGTACAGGGTATTACATTGCAGAGTAAAATAACTCCCACCAATGGCAGCACTACTTAGTCAATGCTAAATGTGCCTTTCTGTTTTTTC